TATACCCCTCAATATGGAATTGTTAGAAAATCAAATTAACGATATTGAAATAACTATAAAGAAAGTTAGTGTATTAACAAAAGAGAACAGTGTTTTAATAAATGACGTATCATTTCAAGTATTACCAAAAGAAATGGTTGCACTGATGGGTCCAAGTGGTTCTGGTAAATCAACGTTATTGAATGTGTTATCTGGTAGAACTGAAAAAGATTTATGTACTTATGGAGAAATACTAATAAATGGACAGGAAAGAGATCCTAAAACATGGCCAACGCAGATGGCTTACGTTAATCAAGACTTTAATGTTTATGAATTTCAAACAGTAAAAGAGTCACTGGTGTTTGCTTATGAAATGAAAATTGGAGAAGTTAATGAATATGAAATTGATAATCTAATAAGAACACTTGGATTAAGTCACATAGAAAATAATTTTATTAATAAATTAAGTGGTGGTGAGAAAGTGAGATTGAAAGTAGGAATTGAATTGGTTGGTAATCCTCAAATTATATTTCTTGATGAGCCAACAAGTGGATTAGATGCAAGTAAAGCTTTAAAAATTTTAAATTTCCTTAAAGAGATATCTCAAACACTTTCTAAGACAATTATTGTTACAATTCATCAACCATCATATAAGATGCTTAATTGCTTTAATAAGATACATTTAATTGCTTTGGGACGAACTGTTTATTCAGGGCCAATTGATGGGTGTATTAAATTTTTTAAAAGCTGTGGTCATCCGATACCTAATAATACCAATCCTGCTGATCATTTTCTTGAGGTTTTGTCTACTGACTCATCAACCCCTGAAAGTAACGATGAATCACTTAATAGAGTTTTAAATATTTTATCAGAATGGTCTAATCAAGAACCTTCTTATGAAAGTCTTAGTCATAAACAATTAAGTTACACGCCTTTAAACAATCTTAAATTTTCTTTTTCTAAAGTTTTAAAAAGAAATTTAGTTGAGATTATTAGAAATTCAACAGTTTTAAAATCTTTGTTATTTCAAAAAACTGTGTTTTTATTAATTCTTGGTTTAACTTATTTTAGATTTGCATCAAATACAGATGATGTATCTTTACTTGATTTTAGAGGTTTTTTAACTTTTATTTGTTTAAATACATTTTTTGGTGTAAGTGGTCCTTTATTAAATAAGTTTGTTTTAGAAAAACAAATTGTATTAAGAGAAAGACAGTCTGGTTTTTACAGTGGTTATGTTGCTTTTCTAGCTAAATTTACTAGTGAATTACTAAAACAAAGTACTTTTGAAGTTGTTTATTTGATTATAATGATTATTTTAACTGGATTGTTTACTAATTTATGGACATTGATTCAATTTTTGATTGTTATATTCGGATTGATATCTTTTGCTATTCCTTATGCTTTAACAATTAGTGCTTTAGCTCCTAATCCTACAACTTCTCAGGTTCTGGGTATTACTATTAATATTCTTTTTGTTTTGTATAGTGGTGCTTTTACTAACCCTAAACAAGTTAATCCTTACCTTAGTTGGTTAATTTACATTTCTCCAATATCTTATGCATTTAGAGCGTTAGTAATATCTCAATCTACTAATAAAAATTTTATCCGTCTTAATAACGATGTTAATAAAAATAAGATTAAAAATCTTATAAATGGGATTGGTGATCAAGCTAGAGAATTAGGCGTATATAATAATTTTGAACAATTATTAAAAGAAAATTTATCATTAAATGATTTATTAAATAATAATTCATCATCAAATGATTTATTAAAAGAATGGGGGTTGGATCAGATTAGTTCATTTACAGTTAATATTTTAATTTTGTTTGGTTATTCAACGTTAGTTGTTCTCTTAGGCTCTTTTATTTTACATAAGCTACTCGAAATAATTTATCTTTAAATAAATAAATCGAGTTTAATTTTTATTTTATCTTACTTTAAAAAATAAAAATAGACTTTAATTTAAAAAAAGAGTAATTTTACAAACATAACATTTTAATTACAAATAGAATAAATTTTTTATGTATAAATAATTTTTTCATTTTTCTTAAATAGATAATGACAACCAGGTATAAGAATAATTTTATACTGGTCGTTTGTAACTTAATCTTACGGCAGGTTCACCTACAGTAACCTTGTTACGACTTACACATCATCCAATGTTGAATATTCAGAACCTAGGCTCTTCATATCCAACATCATCTGAAATGGCGACGGGCGGTGTGTACAAAGAACA